CAGCCTAATTTTCATTTTTGGGTGAACTAACCCTTTAAAACATGCCGACCGATCAGCTGACGAAACATCTTTCTGAAAAAACAAAAGCTTCATAAAACTGTTGTGAAAATTACATCTAGGACCTTTATACAGTGCATGCCATTGTAAAGACTGTAAGTCTATCCCTCACAGCCTTGTTTTCATCCATTAAATTCAATATGGCATCTAACCTTATTAAGGTCTATTATGGATTATCAGATGTATTTAATACAAATATGAAAACTACCTGCGTTAGACATTTGTGTAACTGCCATGATCGTACACCGCTCCCACACCAAGTACTGAATGAGCCAGAAATGTCCTGTTTGCAGCAAACATCTCTGTATAGAAGTAAGTGTCCTTGAGGTCTCCTAATGTATCTCCATCTGGAGATACAAGCCACCTCCATCTGAGGTCTCCATCTGGGGCGATGGAAAGAGAGAGTGGACTGAGTGTCAGTATTTGGTTTATGAGGGAAGAGAGCACAATAAATAGGGAGGAAAGCACATGAGGAACAGGTGAGCACAATTAGTCGAACAAGGACTAGACAAGGGCTGTGTCCAAAATCGCCCCCATACCCTTAAATAGGGTACTATTTGAGGGGACAGCCATTTGTAGTGTTGTCCGAAACCATAGTGGACAATATCGAGTGCACTCATTCAATCTCATAATGCACCACAATAACGAGTGAACAACCAATGTACACTCAACGGCTAGAGAATACCCATAATGCACTGTGAGGGTCGTGCCAAATGAATTCCAGTTTCTCATCACAAGATAGCGTCTGCAGCTGAATCATCAGTCCATTCATTTCCAAACCGCTAAACCAATGTGGTTACAGAGTAATATTATGCAGGTATAAAATTCATTTTAATGTATTATTAAATAGTTTATTTAAGGTTTATACATGCTAGTTTCCATGACAGAGTTCAAGATAAATCTTTTCATTACTACAGGAGCTGCCAGTTTGCAAGTTTCAATTGATTATTTAACAGCAAGCACAAACTATGAAAAAGTGGCAGCCCTTCCAGCGCACTCAGTGATCTCACTCACTCGTTTTCATTAAATTCTTCAACTGGACTACATTAGTGGAGTAATGTAAGGAGCAGTGAATGAGGGTATAGGGGGTGATTTCGAACACAGCAACTGACTAAACGTGGGGGCATGATAAAACAAGGCAGGACAAGGGAAGCACATGGCCAACATAAAGACAGAGCTCAGGGACTCAGGCACAAAACAAATACAGAAACACTAAACAAAGACAACAGACAGAGCTTCCAGGGCAGAGTCCTGACACCTTTGCTCACTTCTAATATCTGAGACGTTTTCCTTTGTGCTGTTGACGTAACCACTCCACTAAAAATTGAAGTCTCTAATGCTTCTCTATGGTGGATAAAATCCACGGAGACACTGCGCATGTGCATCAGCTGTCTGCTCGCACAGCGTTTAGGCTCCGCTTCTCCTCACTTACTGGTGCCACAGTGGTGTACAGTATCTCCCTGATTTCGGCCTGGATGTGTGAGCATTTTTTTTATTATTATTATTTTATTTTCACAGATTTTTTGCTTGAGTAAACATTCTCCTCTGCCCTCAGTTTTAACCCTGTGGAGGAGGTAGGGCAATTATTGCAGGGGGCACAAAGGAAACTTGTGCCACTGCCCTGCTAAAACTAAGTGAGCCTCCAGAACTGGCCCTTTTCTCTGGGGGGAGGAAGAAAAGTGCTGAACTGGGATGGAGAAGAACACCCCCCAGTGCTACTCTCTGTCACTTTGTGGTGAATAGTTCTGTCCCTACAGTACATAGCCTCCACTTTTTCCTGCCTTGAGGATTGGCAGGACTGTTTTGCCTTAGCCTGAGCCGGTTTGGCAATGAGTGCGGTAATCTCAGAAGCCCATCTTGGACTGTTGCGTGAAGTTTCACGTGGGCAGACTGAGGTCTAGCCCCAGTTCCCCCATATATCTTGAATACCCAGCCATGCAAAACCCTTAACAGGCACACTGTGAGAATAAGGTTTGTTTCAGTGCCTTCATCTCCACAATACATGCCGGGACAGCTGGAATGAATTGTCTAATCGGTGTGATGACAGCCTTTTACCATCACAGAGATCATTTCTGCTCCTCGGCCCACCTGTTGAGAGGACCATTCGATGGAAGTTTGGCCCTGCAGCAGACTTCCATGAGGTCTAATCTGACAGCAGGTGTCTCCACTCTGGTTGCTACATTATCAAGATGAATTAGGTGGGAGGATAGAGTCATTTTCCTCATCTTCATCATTGTCGAGAAGATGGGAGGGCTTCATGTTCCTCACCCGCAATACCTGTGAGGTTCACTCTAGTGAAAAGACAAACCCAGCCAACAGCAGAACAGGATTTAAATACATGAATGCATTTTCAGTGCAGTTTCCACAATCTTCACAGGGGAAGAAAACAAGAATTCCTAGTATGTAACCAGGCTGCGATGAGTTATGTACTAGGCAGGCAGGACTCCCTGATTGCACGCTGATCTGTCAGTGTGATAAACGTGATGTAATTGGTGCTTCCACAATTGGACAGTTGGTTGCATATTTATAAATAACGCAACATATACAACCACATTGCAAAAATGACTTTTGTGTGTGATATATTCCCCTACAGGTCATTTAAGCCTGACTTTGTCCTGATCCGACAGCATGCTTACAGCATGGCAGAGAATGAAGACTTCCGTAACTTAGTCATCGGACTGCAGTACGCCGGCATTCCTAGCATCAACTCCCTGGAGTCCATTTACAACCTCTGTGACAAACCCTGGGCAGTAAGTTTGAGAATGGTCAATCTGACGTGACATATCATTTGATAGATATCTGCTCCAAACTCATCTCTCCAAACCTACCTGCAGTTTGCATGTCTGATCAGCACATGCAAGAAACTTGGACAGGAGAAATTCCCATTAATTGAACAGACGTTCTATCCCAACTATAAAGAAATGGTAAGCGATTGCTCCATAAACATTTTCTTCCAATGATGACTATATCTGCATAATTAAATAAATACTCTGTTTGTGGGAAAACAAAGCAGGTGACCATGCCGGCATTCCCTGTTGTCGTGAAAATTGGGCACGCTCACTCTGGTGTGGGGAAGGTAATGTTTAAACTGAAGCGATAACAGTAAAAGAAGCGATGCGTGTTCATGTGTAGTTAAGCATGTAATCAAATCATATGTGTTGTTAAGGTGAAAGTGGAGAACCACACAAAGTTTCAGGACATAGCGAGTGTGGTGGCCATCACTCAGACCTACAGCACATGTGAACCATTCATCGAAGCCAAATACGACATCAGGATTCAGAAAATAGGAAATGATTACAAAGCTTACGTGTGAGTAACAATGCTTTTCTGTAGAGTTTCTGAACACATCTCAGATTTAGCTGAATGCTGTTCTTGACAGATGAAGAATGCTCCTCGTTTCATAGGAGGACCTCAGTCTCAGGTAACTGGAAGTCCAGCACTGGCACTGCCATGGTGGAGCAGGTGGCTATGACCGACAGGTAACCCTAACAATAATGGCACATTTTAAAGTATCTGCTACAGGTAAGCAGTATGCTTCAGACATGACCAAGCAAGTTGCATTGTTCTGCAGGTATAAGCTTTGGGTTGACACCTGCAGTGAAATATTTGGAGGCCTCGAAATTTGTGCCGTTAAAGCTATTCATGGAAAAGATGGAAAAGATTACATTACTGAGGTATGTGCTATACTTTAGGAAGAGCCGCATGCTAGTTGTATAGATAGGACATATACAGATGCTGTAGAGCATTTTTGTTTTGTAGTTTTTCTTCTACAAATTCAACCATTGTGTTTTATTCTCTATGTAATATTACTAATATCTGTGTTTTTTTGATTAGGTAATGGGTTCATCTATGCCATTAGTGGGAGACCATCAGGCTGAGGACCAGCAGCTAATAGCAGACATGGTCATTGCCAAATTGAATCATGTTATGGCACAAAATCCCAAAAGACCAACTGCTATTCAACCAAGAAAGGTAGATGATGTAACAAAGACAAACATGATGTAAACAAAAAAATCTGACCTAACTTACAAAATAAGACAGCATTTTACCTTTAATTTTTGATGTTTGATTTTCAAAGCAAGTTATCTATAGTGCAGAGCATACAGTAAGAGCATGTCAGAGCATCTCTGTTGTGAATGTCACTTGTATGAGCAGATGTGCTTGTTTCTTTCAGAATGCTGTTGAGAAGGATGCTGTGGTTGAAGTAAAGCACGGCCCACCACAGAAAGCTCCTCCACAAGGCTGTTTGCAGTACATTCTTGACTGCAATGGTGTTGCTGTGGGACCAAAATTAGTGCAGGCAAACTAATACAACCATGAAAGCTCGAAGCATTTAAACTCCCGACAGGTTGTGTTCAAACATTCAGACAGTGACCTGAGGTGCAAGGGAACAAATAATCTGTAAGAAAAGTCTTCATTTGGGCCTGATCGGTATTTCAGGCTGTACTGTGTTACTTTCACTGTTCTGCGCTTGTGATGGTTGCTTTGTTTCTATGTGAAGCTGTTGTCTCTTCAGGGTTGTTGTGTGTGGTGATACAGCAGATCGTGCCTAGTGTTCAGTGTCACTCTTTCCTTGTACTTATTTTTTTCTTGTTTTATGTCTTGTGTTATGTTTCAGTATATGGTGTTCAAAGAGTCACTGTGTGTGTATGTGTGTGTGTGTGTGTGTGTGTGTACCTGGTATTCCCTGTGGTAAAGGGGACCAAAAGTCACCACAAGGATAGTAATACCAGTAAATTTTGACCTTGTGGGGACATTTGTTTTTGGTACCCATGAGGAAACAAGCTTATAAATCAAACAGAAGGAAGTTTTTTTTTTAAATGCTGTGTTTTGTGTGAGAGGTAGGTTTAGGGGTAGGGTTAGGGTAAGGGGATAGAAAATACAGTTTGTACAGTATAAAATCATTACGCCTATGAAATGACCCCATAAAACATGGAAACCAGTGTGTGTGTGTGTGTGTGTGAGAGAGAGAGAATGTATATATACATGAAAGTATGGAGACTACAATATAAATATATAAATTTTAATTGCATGATGAAATGTATGTGTCACTGTGTGTTGAAAGGTAATGTGTGTATTTTATTTTATGACATCACTGTTGAAATCATAGATATCATTCTCTATGTACTTCTAGTATTGTAAATGTGTTATAAAATATGGTGAAATGTATTTGCTACAATGGATGAAAGCTCTATTACTGAACATCAATAATTTTTTTGTTCTTGTTACCAATATTATTGCAGAAATGTAATTAAATAATAAGCAATAAAAATAAAACTCTGAACAAACACTGAACACTCTTATTTTATTTTATTTATCCTTTATTTTTCCAGGAAAGTCCCACTGAGATAAAAGAAATCTCTTCTTCCAGGGAGTCCTGGCCAAGATGACCGTACAAACATTTCACAAACATACACCTCACAAGACAAAATTATATAGAACCAAAGCAAAAACAATAATCATAAATCAGTAAATTAATTAAAACCACAACATGGTTCATTTGCTAAACACTGCACTACATTTTTAAAAATATTCAAAGAAGGAATTGTTTCTAGTTTGAAATTCATTCCACAACCACGGAGCATAGTAAGAGAAAGCTGATTTTCCATGCTCTGAATGTACCCCGGGCATTTCTAATTGAATCCCATTTGATATATATATATATCACCAGATATTGATATATCTGGTGATATAATTCTTTCTACTTAAGCATAAAAGACTAGAGATGTAATTTGGAAGCATGCCCAACAATGCCTTTACAGTATACACTGACATGTGTGATTTCCTTCTTTGATATAAAGAGGACCAACCTACTTTATTATACAGCAAACAATGATGAGTACGTGAGCAAGCATTTGTTATAAATCGTAATGCAGCATGATAAACACTATCCAACCTTTTCAATAAATACGTAGAAGCATGCATGTAAATAACATCTCCATAATCTAGAATGGGTAAAAATGTACTCTGTATAATTTGCTTTCTAGCTCCAAAGGAAAAACTTTTTTTTTGCCGAAATAGAAAACCCAATCTTGGTTTAAGTCTTTTCACCAAGTAATCAATATGTACATCAAAAGCTAACTTCTCATCAAGTCATATCCGTAAATACTTATAAGCTGTTCCCTTTCATGGAAACTTCGAACTGCATCCTCTAGGGGTCGCTATGGGGAACGCCTCGTCGTGACCCATGTCTGAAGCATACATTGAAAAAACACTAAGGGTTGGCCGGCGACAGCCATGACGTCACTAAGACTATAGTATAAATAGGCGGCGGGAGAACACATCATCCTCTTCTTCAATCTATGCGTTATTTGTTTGGGCGAAGAGCACGCACGCAATGTTTTCGAGGGGGCAATCTGTGTGCACTGCGAGCATTTTTCCAATGAAAAAGCTCCGCTCTCGTTTGTCTCTCTTTTCGAGGAAAGAGGGGCAGCCATCTGCTTCCCAAATATAGGTGGCATTTGCGAGAACCTTAGGCAGTGCAACCTTAGAGGGTTGTATTTGAGCTTGCCTCTCCCGTTTGGCTCAGTACATCCGGGTGTCTGTGAACAGATGCTTGGAAAACTCTTAAAAAATCCATACTATGGTAAGTGCACACGTTAAGCTTTGAATGATGTGTTCTCCCGGCGCCTATTTATACTATAGTCGCACCGGTAGTGACGTCATGACTGTCGCCGGCCAACGTGTTGTTGGTGTTTTTTCAATGTATGCTTCAGACACGGGTCACGACGAGGCGT